GTGGACGCTCTGTGCTGCGGACTCTGGGACAGCTGGTGCGAGAGGAGGGCCCGAGGGGGCTTGTCAAGGGGCTGTCTGCCCGCCTGCTCTCTGTCGCCCCCTCCTCACTGGCCGTGGTGCTGGGGTACGAGACCCTGAAGAGACTGAGCCTCAGGAAGGATCTGAGGGAGAGCGTGAGCGAGACGGAGGGATAGAGCAGGATAGCGAGGGAGACTGCGGGATGCCGAGAGTGGAAGTGGGGATAGAGGGGGAGTGGGGTGGAGGGAGACAGAGGGAGACAGTTGGATGTAGGGGGAGAGAGAGTGGGTTAGAGAGATGAAGAGGGGTGGAGGATGGGTGAAAGAGACTTTTTTTTTGTCTTCGATATTAAAATTTCAAATCACTGGCACAAGAAAGAACACAAAGGGAAAACCACAGAGGAGCCCCCCGTCTCCACGCACATGCCACTGTCTGCTGCTTCCGATCCGGGACAGAATTCCCACCGGGAGTCGGGGGGCCTTCCGGGAAAGCCTCTGGTTTGTTCCTGTGCCGTACTCTAATGAAACTGGCACCGACCGCGCTGAAATCCTGTAAAGAAATGATCCGAGATCGATTTCAGAGTAACCGTTAACTGTTGTTAAATCACGTGAACGAGCAGCCTGAACTCCTGCCCGGGCAAGGGCTCGGTGAGAGAGAGTGAGAGTGAGCGCCTCGGCCCGGCCCCGCAGTCACCCCTCCCTCCCCCCGGCCACAAGGGGGCGCCGCCGAGCTGAACTACCTGCCCTCCCATCACAAGGCCCTGGGCGCGAGCTCAGCGCTCTGCGGACACTGCGATGATGGCTCTGAGCCGGACGCCCCAGGGAGCCCCTCCGCGCTGCCGACCCCCCCCAGGCAGGTGGGCAGCTGGACAGGAGCGGGACTGTCCCCTGAGGCTCGGTGTCGGACCAGCGGGACAGTACGACCGCTCGCCCATTTGTCTCGTGTGTTTGTTACGATGGGGTATTGTTTTTCTACAATATAAAATGTCTATTTTAAAAAAAAGCGGGTTGGATTGAATTGCAGCAGCATGGCGAGGGGATGCCAACAGGTCTAGGGATCGCAGGGTCAGCATTGCTGGGGCCCGGGGTTCGATTCCTGTCCTGGGGGTGCCGTCTGGCTGGAGTCTGTATGGCCCCCCCTGTGTTTGCATGGATTTCCTGCAGCTGCTCAGGTGTCCTGTGGAAGGCTGAAGACATATGGGCAGCTGAATTGTTCTGAAACAAGGTGTGTGTGCATGTCTGACCTGCTGTGGACTGGGATCCTTTCCAGCGTGTGTCCAGGACAGACTTTGTCTCCCCTGCGACACCTCACTGGGAGGAGGGGATTAGGAACTGGATGACTGCATCAACCTCCTCCTGAATGTTACATGACCCCTACTGCAACCCCTACAAATTATTTTAATACTCAGATTCAACTGATTGTTACAGTAATTCACAGGTGGATTAATCAGCAGGAACTCAGCTCTTCTTATATTCCATTTTTATTCACGTATGTATTAGGTGGCATTTCACAGAATTATCCCACGTCACACACAGGTTCAGGGATCCAGGACACAGCCTGGAGTTTCCATGGAAACAAGTCAGTCCTTGCCCAACCCCCCCCTCCCACTGAGGTCAGCGCACCCCAGGGTTCAAATATAAATACAGAGGCAACCAGACACGACAAGAGAGAGGAAGGGAAGGGCATTTTTCCTGAACAAACCCATCTGTTCTCCAGTTCTCTTGCTGTTCTCTACCACAGGCTGGTATCCCTCACACACACACACACAGTTGGACGTGTCTCAGTGGCGCCCCCTTTCAGGCTGCTGTTGGTATTGCATCAGTGGTCCACAGCATTCAGGATGGCAGAGTACAGAACTGCCTGGTCCCTCACTGAGCGCTCACCTAAGAGGGGAGGGAAGAAGAGAGAATGGTTTAATGAATTCATGATTTAACTGCAGTTAGTGCTCTGCTGGGGTCTGGAAAAAAGAAAGGAAAAGACCTCGATGGCGCCAGGCCCCGCCCACTGTCAGCCACACCCACGCCGCCATGGCCACCGTCAGGACGGACAGCAGAGGGAGGCTGTACTCGTACCGCGGGTTCAGGAAGCTCTGGGGGAGAGAGAGAGAGAGTCTCGCGGGTGCGTTCAGCCAGCTGTGCCGGCGAGTCGGCGGCCGGACCCGGCGGCTCTCACCAGCCCGCTGGCCAGCAGGTGCGCGGCGACCACGCCCAGCCCCGCCCCGGGCCGGCGCCGCTCCCAGGCCTCGGCCAGCACCACGGCCCAGCAGGCATGCAGGAGGGGCGCGCACAGGGCCTGCAGCGCTGGGGAGACAAGGCAGTCAGGCCCCGCCCTGCCCGGTTCACCGGAACCCGCCCACCCCACCCAGCTCCACCCCTGCTTGAACTAGACCCCGCCCAACCTGCCCAGCTCCACCCCTGCTCAAACTAGACCCCGCCCACCCCACCCAGCTCCACCCCTGCTTGAACTAGACCCTGCCCAGCTCCACCCCCGCTCGAACTAGACCCCGCCCACCCAGCCCAGCTCTACCAGACCCCGCCCACTCTGCCCAGGCCCACCAGGCCCCACTTACCCTGCCCACCCCACCTGGCTCTGCCCCCGCCCAGCCCACTCGTACCCGACACCATGAAGAAGTGCGCCGAGTCTCCATGGATTCCCGGCACGCCCGGCCCCAGGCTGGCCGCCAGCACACCGGCCAGGGAGAAGGCGCCGCTGGCCATCCCGAAGGACAGGCCGCACACTGCGGGGGGCAGGGAGAGGGACAGGTGAGGCCACTCCACCCCCAGGCCCCCAGAGAGCCCCGGGGAGACACAGGGAAGGCACCCCTACCGTACGCCGTCTGCTGCGGAGAGAGGGGGCGCTGGTCCCCCCGTCGGGAGGCAGCCAGGCCCTCCCCCGCCTTCCTGAGGGGGACAAGGAGACGAGCCGGAGTGAGAGGGGGACTCCCAGCCTGACAGACAGACGGACAGCCACCCAGCCTTCCCACTCACTTGAGCAGCACGTAGCAGGTCAGGCGGGAGAGCTCCTGCAGCAGCACGGACAGCGCCGCCCCTGTGGCGAGGAGGAGGTACTGCAGCTTGGGGTCGCCCTGGTCAGTCAGCTGCACTGCGGTGAACCACAGCGCCGAGGACAGGAGCACAGAGAGGAGCCAAAAAAACATACTGTGGGGGGAAGAGACAGGAGGAAGCAGGGAGAGGAGAGAGACAGACAGACAGGAGGGAGAGGAGAAAGAGACCAGAGGGAGAGGAGACAGGAGGAAGAGGAGATAGAGGAGCCACAGACAGACAGGAGAGAGAGATAGATAAGACAGGAGAAATAGGGATCAGCAGATCAGAAATGTCGCGAATGAAACGGCAGGACTCGCCAGCCGACTCACCCCGCGACCAGCGCGATGACCCGCAGCGGATCGGCGCCCACCGTGAACACGAACAGGGCGAAACTCGGCCCGAAGGCGGTGAAGACGCAGCCGAGAAACACGGCAGCCCCCATCCCTCCGAGCGTCTTCCTCAGGACAAAACGGCTTCCTGGAGCGTTACGGTTTTATTTATTTTTTTAAATGGAGTTTTTCCCCCCCCAGACACTTCCTCAGCCATTTTAAATAACCCTCCAGAAAACCACATGACTTCGCTCGTCCAGCCCTTGTATCCGGAAGAGCCAGGGCCACGCCCCTTGGGCGATCCCGGCCAATCGCGCTGCTCCATCCGGCGTGAGTGCTGGGAATTCATGGCCCAGTAGAAAGACGAGAGGAGGCGGGATATAGAACCTTAGCATCCGCTTCCTGGTGTCATCCAAGGTCCTCATGGGAGCTGTAGTTTTTCAAGTTAATTTAGGTTACCCGTCAGTGCAACTCGGTAGGATTTGTAGAGGTTCAGAAAAGATGCACTCAGTTCTCAATACTGACTCTGTGCAATAAAACAGCTACACTGAAACTGCTACACAAATGCTTTATTTATTTTCATGTGTAGGTTTAAATGGAAGGGGATGTCTAGCCATTCCCCTTGGAAAAAGACAGCAGTTTCCACATGAAAAATACAGATTAAATACAGAGACAGACGATGGTAAGTGTTCCCTAATACTAGACAGTGCAAAGAAAGTGCCAAAAATGTGGTCTCTTAACGAGTGTGAAGCTAGAAGTGTTGTGTAGTTGCATGTACAACGCACAGTTCATCTGTCAGGGTCAGTGCTGGTCACTCTGAGCGCCACTGTCTGCCAGTCTGCACCACTGTCAATCACTCAGTGTCAGCCAATCAGTGTGTCAGTCAGACCCTCAGCCACTCAGTGTTAGCCCATTGGTGTTTCAGGCCGTCAATCACTTAGTGTCGGCCAATCAGTGCGTCACCCAGACTCTCAATCACTCAGTGTCAGCCAATCGGTGTTTCAAACCTTCATTCAGCTTGTCAATCACTTAATGTCATCACTCACAGCCAGCTAATCACTATTAGACAGTGTGTCACTCAGTCTCAGCATATCCATCAGTGTTTGTCGACACAGTCTCTAACATACCAACCCACGTCGCTCCAGCCTCTCACCTCCAGTCACTTACAGGATAAACCCACCCACTCTCAGCCTCACTGGGAAACAGTGAAGAACATGAACCCAGCAGCCCGTAAGTACACAGAGCTGCTGGGCAGTACGTCCAAGCAAACACAAACACAGTCCAACAGAAAACACCATCCTACAGAATTCCCGCAGAAACGTCCGTCAGGATG